CCTCCCCGCCGGGGCCGGGTGTGGAGGTGTCAGGCTGCGGCCTGTAGCTGCCCCCGGCTGACAAGGGCAGGGCGGCGCGGGCAGCCCTCCGCGCCTCCCGGCCGCATGATGCAACGCTGCCCTTAACCCGCGGAGGCTTCTCCTCGGAGCAGGCTGCTGCTTCCTGGCAGCGCCTGGCTTGGCGAGGGCCGGGGCCCGTCCCAGCAGCGACCAGCATTCGCGGGGAGGGGTTGGCGTGCCCACCCGGTGTTCTCCTTGATGAAGAGTGTACATAAACCGTGGTTGAATGTTACGTTTGCACTGGTGTATACGTACGCTAGAAAATACCTCCTTAAAGTTGTGGCATAGTCTAATCCCGTTTCGCTGCAAATACATAGCCTAATAGAATTTCTGCTGTGAGTGGTATTATTTAACATTATCCCTTCTTTCTGTTACCCCGTTGCTGATCTTGTGTGGTAAGTTTCCCTCTCCACAGTGTTGTAGATGATAATAAATTCCTTTAGATTATTTTCTTCATTGTAGGAAGAAAATGGTGCAAGTCAAGTTCCTTTTTCCTAGTGAAATGTCTTTATGTTTGTTAATAGACTTTTAGTTTTCTTTCATGCGAACAACTGTGCTGTATGGATTTGTACAGCATATCTGATATGCCTGTGTGTGACCAACTGTCAACTCTTAATTTATATGAGTCGCAAATGGTATATTTGTATTGTCATTCCTTTAATGTGTGTGTAGAAGAGTACCTCATGGCATCAGAGGTCCATAAGATAGCGAGGGAAAAGTACAAGAAATAGGACTGTAGCTTTGAACCCTTTCCCAGTGTTTAAGGACATTTCCTGTAATTCTCTAGTCCATCTTTCACACATATATGGTTAAAGTTGCTTAAAATACTGTCTTGTGTTTCTTGATGGTTCAACTGAGCAAGTTTTGTTCCATTTGGGTATATCTTAATAAGCTGTAAATTCTGTCATAAGCCTGCTATTTGACAAGCTAAATTACATGCTAGGAGTTGTTTTAGATGGCAAGAAGAAAAGGGTCCTCTTAGAGCTTTCTTGGACATAGTTCCCTTTTCGTGGTCTGGGGTGGAGGGAGTAAAAACCAAACAAAGCCGAAAACATCCATGCAGTTTGTATTTTGTGTACACAGAGAGAAGGGGCGAAGCAGCAGTGGCGGTGTGTGAGGATAACAGTTGGCACTGTTTTGTAGAGTGGAGAGTATGGATGTGTCGTCAGAGGTGGCCATAAATACTGTTAACTGCCCTTTGGGACAAGACATACTCTAACTGAACAATTAAAGAGATTTGGTTTTCTGCTAGTTTAAACATGGAAGCAGAGCTGTGACATGCCGCTTTTGTGTTTGCTATGTTTTAAGGTGTTCTGGTTTTTACTTATGTACATGGTTGTAGGGCTGTATAGCTTTTTTTTTTTTTTTATTTCTCATAATAAATTAGGCCCTATCTGTGACTATTATTTCAGCAACTCGAAAATTTGGAGCCCTACTGGCTCTTCTTCTCTGTATTTATAAGCAATTAAAAGGTGGAACAAAGATCAATGAAATGCTGTCTCATTCCTTGGAAAACAATATGAAACCTTACCACAAAAGCAAAACAGTGAAGTAAATTACTGTATATAGGACAGTATCTAGTTTTAGCTAGATTTCATTACTCAGAAAAGTGGTCAGAATGGCTTCTTTTTAATTTCAAACTGAAATGATGTGAACTCATACTTCAGTTGTACATACCTGTCTTTTATTCAACTTGAGTGTAGTGGAGACTGAGGGCTTCAGGTTCATATGAAAATGCTCATATCTGCTTTTTAAAAAGCAATAATCTCTTATGTGTCAGTTATATTTAAGACAATGCCATAAAAAAGACTGTATGCAGATTATGTTTTGCTTTAAGACCTGGCATATAGTGTACTCTGGAAAATGGTTGTCAGTGTAACTAGACATTTATCAAAGCAAGCTAAAATTTGAGAGGGAGAAGAAGAGCATGTAATTCTTCTCCAAGCAAAATACCTCTTCAAGTTTTTTATGCCACCACAATTGTCTGTGTTGGAGATTATATGCTTATAAAGAAATCTGAAAAAAATCTACCTAACTGATACTACTGTACTAATGTAAGTTTTCCAAATACATTTTGACTTAATCTTTTGTGTGGATATGTATGTTTGTGTCAGGGGTTATTCTGAAGATGTTACTACAGGAAATTCTTACAGGATTCTGCTATTTTGATGAGAGTTGTAAGTCTCAATTGTAAATTTCTTCAGGAAAAAAAACTATTTTAAGTGTTCGTGTCACTTTGGCAAAGTCTCTCTTAATAAGTTGGTGTCAAAACTCAAAGCATGAAAAAAACATGTGTGGAAAAAACAGAAAAATGGTGAGGGGACTAAGATAGCATAGAAGGTTGTATTCTTGCTCCCAGTTTTTAATCCTACTTTATGGATAAAACTTTCACTGCTGTAAATAGAGATAGGAGGAACACATACTTTCTGTGTGTCAACTGGGATTTCAAGTTTTTGTCCCCTTGAATGTTTTGTCAGTGTGCTTACGCTGGTTGGATGGAGGAGAGGTAAAAAACTCTGCTTTTGTGGACT